CCTGGCACATAGTGAGTGCTTAATAAATGCCCTTTGAATGACTGACCCTAAGCTAACGCAATGAGAGAGATTGAGAGAAATAGAGAGATTGATCTTGAAAGACTGGTAGGATTTTGATAATTGAAGAAGGGAGAGGAGAGTTACTACGTCAAATGATGGTAGGTAGTAACAATTGAGTGGAGGTAATGATGGGGTTGGGATCTGGGCCCCAGAAAGGAAAAACCCTGGACTTTCCCACATGGCCAAATCTCTGGCGTTCCCCTGAGGCTATAATCCCGTCAACTGGCATTTCATTGTGGACCTCCCTATGGCCGAGGCCATTTCTCCATTCTCCCTTGGCCATGTGGTCCAGGTCCCTGGAATTCTATTACCTCATAGACTACTTGGCCACTCCTAGATTCCTCCCACAGTCTTTCTGTATATAAGGTCCATCTTGTCTCCATTAGGTTGCTTAGATTCTTATAATCTAGCCACAGCTCAGATTCCTAAAATCTAGCCACTGGTCAGATTCTTATAATCTAGCCAGTAGCTCACTAATGTTCAGACTCCTAAAGAGTCTGCCCAATATGATGGATGTTCTAATAAACCTTGTCTTTGGCTGAAAGAAGGCTTGGGTCAAATTCTTTCGGGCAGGACCCACGTGTTGTGATTTTGGGGTCCCAGGACCCCTAAACCACATCAGTAAGAAAGTGCATCAGTATGTTGAAGGAAATAGTAATATTATTATAGGTGGTACTTATATAATGCTTTAACATTTACCATATATTTTCTATACATTATCTCATGCTCACAACAAAACTGTGAGAAATAAGTGCTATTATTGTCTTCATTTTACTGGTGAGGAAACTGAGAGAAACCAAGTGATTTTCCTGGGGCTCACGTTGCTAGTAAATATCTGAGGCAGAACCTGAACCCTGATGTCTCAGAATCCAAGTAATAATAATAATAGCTAGCATTTATATAGCAACTACTATGTACCAGGTATTGTGATAAGTGCTTTACAAGTATCTCACTTGATCCTCACAGCAATCCCCGGAGGTAGGTGCTAAGAAACTGACACAGTGGTTAAGTGACTTGATCAGGGTCACAGAGTTAGTAGTAAATGTCTGAGGTCAGATTTGAATTAAGATCTTCCTGACTCTACTATACCATGCTGCCAGTTGGCTGGAGCGGAGGGTTCATTCCAAGAAGCATAGGAGATAAAGCTGGGTGAAGTTACATTCCAGGTAAAGGAATGGTGGATGTCTCTTGTAAGATAGCTGGGAAGGTCATTACCAGTTTACCTACCTTTCAGTGTTGTAAGTAGTTTGCTGTCACTGTGGGTGGTTTTTTTCCGTCCTTTTGATTATGTCTTTGCACTTGTATCACATTATTTAGAATGATATTTGACTGCAGGCCTCATCTGATATATAAACTCTCATTTACAAATAACCTTTGCAAATGACTGCCACCTTTCCTCCTTCTCTCTTCTCTTCTCTCTCTCCTGCTTCTGTAGCCATGAACACCTTATGAGTAAGTGGGACTTTTGGAGAATCCTTTGCCTGAGTTTGTGATACCTGTGACCCCTGCTCCCAGAACACTGCCCTCAGGCCAGAGCTGTCATTAATCAGTTTTAATGTACATTTTTCATTAAATAGGCTCCCGTAGGCTAGCCTACAAACTAATCTGCCATCTCTGGTAACCATTTATAGCATTGTGGGTGGGGTGGGGTGGGATGCCTTTCGAATTCCAATAATTCGTTGCCTTACAAAAGGAACTTTTGGAATGAAACTCTTTTCTAAGCTGGGGACTGGCAGTCCTGGTTTTTGGACCGGCTTTCCTGTTACCTAGAACTCTTCTGGCTTTAGTGTTTACCTAAGGCCAAGACCCAAGTTGTTTTTTCCATCCTGACTCATCATTACTTATTTGCGTTTTTGGATTAAACTTGAAAGTCCATAGAAATATGAGCTATTAATGTTATTATACGTAAAGGAGAGTAAGCTGTTTGGTTAGTGAGACATGTTTCCTGAGGACGGGGCCCTGGCCTGAATGTTGCCAGTAGAAACCAAAAGAAGAGAAGTCTTTGATGTATTTAGTAGTGGTGGCAGATATCAATTATTGGTGAGACTCAAGAAGGTTTAAATGGGGTAGGATCCCTTTGAAAAACTGGCCCTTATGTTGAAAGTAGCAACTTCTCCATGTACCTTTGGCTTAAGTGAAGATAATAATAATGATGATGGCTGATATATTCATCTAATAGTGTTAGCATTGCAGAATGCTTTATGGAAATTCTGTCCTTTGATCCTTACAACAATATAGCCTGTAAAGGCACTATATTTGCAGTGTTCATGGGTAAGGGGTCCCAGAGCTATGTATACAATTACCATTAACCTCAGGAGATATATCACAGCTGTGTGCCTAGACAGTCTGGTATAACACAACATATGCCATCTAACCCCATCACATCCTACTCTTTGGGCTAAAAGCCTGTAAGTGGTGGAAAGAGCTACTGCCCTTGAGACCCTGACTTAGGCGTAGGGAAATAGGATCATTGAAATTGCTTATAGCCCAGCATGGTGGCTCGTGCCTTTGGTCTGTGCTGCTGGGGAAGCTGAGGATGGAAGATAGTTTGAGTTCCAGAGTTCGTAAGTGCAGTAGGCCAAACATTAGGTGTGTATACTAAGTCTGGCACCAATATGGTGAACCCCTGGGAAAAGGCTGCCTAACAATGAGCAAACCAGCCCTGGTCAACAAATGGCACAGGTTAAAGCTTCTATGCTGATCGGTACTGGGATCAGGCCCACGAGGACCTGCTAAACTTCTAGCCTAGGAGAGAGGTGGGGAGACCCAGTCTTCCCCCCAACTTCAAAAAAAAGGGTGGGGGGGAGGGGAGAAATTACTTCTAATAGATGTAGAGGTTGTTCAAGGTAACTTAGAAGAGGAGAATATGTTGATTTCACTGCTGTTAAATGCTTCTACACCCCACCCCACCCATGACCTTATATTTATTTTGTATATTCTTAACTATGTAAGTAATGTTTGCATATTTAAATATATACAAAATGAGTTTTTAAAAAATATATTTAAATGTGTACCTGTGACTAGAGGTGGTATTGATTTGGTCTAGAGGTTAGGGGTCCTGGAATCCCAAAATCAGGACACCTGGGGCCTGCCTGAAAGAATTCGACCCAAGCCTTCTTGCAGCCAAAAACAAGGTTTATTGAAGATTCGCCATATTAGCCAGACTCTTAAGGAATCTGAGCATCTATGGGCTATTGGCTAGATTCTAAGAATCAGAGCATCTTAATGGTGACAAGATGGACCTTATATACAGAAAGACTGTGGGAGGGATCTAGGAGTGGCCAAGTAGTTTGGGGTGACGGGAAGAAGGGCCTAAGGAGATCTGGATGGGAGTGGCTAGTAAGCTGGGGTGAACAGAACTCCTGGGACCTGGACCTCGGGGGCCAAGGGAGAATGGAGCCCAGCTAGGATTAGGGTGGGAAATGGCAGGGGGGGGGGGGCCATAGGGAGGTAAGACAATGGAGGGGAGATTGGGTGTGGCCGCAATGAAAGGCCAGTTGATGGGATTATAGCCTCAGGGGAACGCCAGAGATTTGGCCCTGTGGGAAAGTCCAGAGTTTTTCCTTTCTGGGGCCCAGATTCCAACCCCATCAGTATGGCATAGTAGAGAGAGATCTGGCGTCGGGAATCAATAAGACTGTCTGTGTGACTCTGGGGGGAAATCATAAACTTTCAGTGCTCTAGGCAGCTCTCTGAGACCAGAAGTTGCAGAGGAAGTGCCAGCCTTCATTGGTAGAGGAGTTTTCTCACAAAGGGAGTTCCCTAGATTAGTGAAATAACGGGTTAGTCCTTGTGTACTCTTGCCGTTCCTTGAACCAGGTACTCCACGTTCCAGTCCTAGGCATTCCCTTCCCCCATTCCGTATGCTTGGAATGCCCTCCCTTCCTGGCTTCCCTGGCTTCCTTTCAAGTCCCAGCTAAGGGGCAGCTAGGTGGCACAGTGGATAGAGCACCAGCCCTGAAGTCAGGAGGACCTGAGTTCAAATCCGGTCTCAGACTCAAACACTCGACACTTACTAGCTGTGTGACGCTGGGCAAGTCACTTAACCCCAATTGCCTTACCAAAAAACAAAAACAAAAAAACGAAACAAAAAAAATCAAGTCCCAGCTAAAATCCCACCTTCTACAGGAAGTCTTTCCTGATCTCTCTTAATTCTAGTACCTTCCCTCTTCTGAGTATTTCCAATTTATCCTGTATAAGTATATAGCTCCTCAATAGCAGGGGCTGTCTTCTACATTTCTTTGTATCTCCAGTGCTTAGCACAGTGGAAAGCACTGAATGTTTATTGACCGACATAATGTAAGGTCCATGAGGTCATAAAGTGTTTTGCTTTTACCGTATTATTCCCGGTGCCTAGCAGAATGCCTGGCATTTTTGGGGAGAGAGGTAGAGGGAAAGGTACACTTTATCAGTGTAAGGAACACTGAAAATTTCTCCTGTTAACAGTCTTAGAAAAAAGACTGGTTGCCTGGGCCCTGAAAGATTAAGAGTCTGGCCAGTGTGTCAGAGGAAGGTCTTAATTCTCGATCCTGTTGACTTCAAGGCTAACATCCTAGGATTATAGAATCAGAATTAGGAGGCCATCTAGTCCAACCCCTTCATTTTATAGAAGAAGCTTCAAAAGCCCAAAGAGATGCTTTAACCTATCCATGCTCACACAGGTGGAAAAAGACACTTTGGAATAATTTGGAGAAAGGTTTCTTTTTTGTTTTTCAAATACATTTTGGGGTTTTACTTCTACTGAATCTAAAATCAGTTTATAAGAATGTCTGCTTTAGCTGGGAAAAATCACCTTGGTAAAACAGGCTGAACACAAGGATTGGTAAAGTAAGAGGACAGAAATAGCTGCCTCTGATGATTGTATTTTTATGGGCCCTTGGGATGGGTTTCTGTGACTATTTCTAACCATATGTCTCCCTTTTTTTTTTTTTTAAACCAAGTACTCCTCTTCAAGTTGTACCAGCGTGCAAAGCATGTGTTCAGCGAGGCAGCCAGAGTGTTGCAGTTTAAGAAGATATGTGAGGATGCACCTGCCAATGCTGTCCAGCTGCTGGGAGACCTAATGAACCAGAGTCATGTGAGCTGTAGGAACTTGTACGAGTGCAGCTGTCCTGAACTGGATCAGCTGGTGGATGTCTGTCGGTAAGTCTGTTGAGGGAGGGGAGGAAAAGATGGGGCATCTTGAGAGTCAGTTTAAAATGTATGACCATCTTTCAAAGGAAAGTGATTCCCAATCTCCTGCTTAACGAATGGCTTCCTGAGACATTCTCCAGCTAAGACTGGTTCTCTCTGACAGCCGACAAATGTTTACAGAATGAAAGATTCTTTCAGTGGCAGCCATAATTCCCATCTGGTCCAGGGTCAACTCTTTTTTTGAAATCTCTATAATAAATAACTCTTTATTATCGTGTGTTTAGATCTTTCATGAAGGCAGTAGTAGCTTTCTTCAAATATTTTCTCAATTCACTTTTTGATGACTTTGGGTTGAATGTGTCTTAATCTGCACAACTCCTGGGCTACCCTCAAACTAATTGACTTTCTCACCTGTTTCTGAAGTTCTCTTGTAAAAGGAATAGAGGATCATGGCATGACTCAGGGATTGAGATTCTGTTTAAAGCTGAGACTCTTTGGCTGGAAAGAAATGGAGTAAGCAGTACTCATCAAAGGTTCAGTTGAGACGCTGAACTTTGTAAAAGGTAGAATATTTCATGAATTGCTTTATGCTTTACAGGCAGTAGGGTAGTAACATGTCCAAGTTGGACACGTAAGTAAGAAAGATAAAAATGACCTGGAGCGAACAGAAAGTGAAATCCAGGGAGCTTTCAAATGGCTGAGATGTCATTTCCATTGTGAGAACAGAATAAAATGCTGCATGTAATTAATAAGGAAAATACAGTTAACCACTTGGCACCGGTGGTTTGCCTTGTCCATTGTCACAGAATCAGCATGGAAAGATTAAACTGAATGGTTCAGATGCTCATAAACCATATGTATAACACAACCTGTTGAGAGAATTTGCCTCGTGTTAATGAGCCCTTCTGACGTCAGTATTTGTTCTCTAATTGCAGAAGAAGCTTCCGGAGTTTGTTTTATTGTAGCAACTATTTTATGAAACTATGGAGGGCATAGAAATGGGAGGAGAGAAATAATTTCAGTTCCTGAAGAAAAGATGTGGAATAGTTCGCACATTACAAATCCAGTGGGGCAAAGGTGAGGAAAGGTTTATCCCCTTTTGTTTCTGATGAAACATAGTTTGAATAGTTGGTAGTTTTAGAAGTGGTCTAAGTACCGTTGGTTTCCCTAGTACAATTGCTGAAGTTCTCTCTTTTGAGAACAGTAGTGAGGCTTGCTGTATAACTTCATGTATGTTTTCCATTTACTCATATGTGTACATGTCATTTCCCTTTAGAGAAGGTAAGCTCCTTGAGAGCAGGGACTTTCTCATTTTTGTCTGTATCTCCAGTGCCTAACACAGTACCTGGCACATAGTAGACTCAGAATAAATGCTTATTGATTGATTGAGTTCTGTCACTCAGAAACAAGAAAAACCAATATCTTTCCAACTTAGTCTTGAGATTTTCTTTCCTCCATTTCCCTTTAGACAGTATAAAAATGAAACTTCTCAGAGTTACAAATGAGTTATATCTACAGATGTACTTTTCTTCTAATTTTTTTCTGACCTTTGTAGGATGAATCCATTAGTCATCCACTAAGCATTTATTAAACACCTGTTATAACAGCCACCCTTGCCAGTATCATACACTGTTGGTAGTGATTTGGAAGTGATCTAGGCCTTTGCTAGAGAAGTGGGTTTAGAAAATGACCCTCTTTTTTTAAAGAATGGAAGTTGAAGACCATAAACTACAGCTGGAGGAAAGAGAGTGATTTTTTTTTTCTTTAGAAAAAAAGGAACAGTGTTAAGAAAAGGGGAAATAAAAAGTTTTAAAGAAATAAAGGAGAAAGTTGTTTCTTTCCTTTTTTTGTTTTTTGTTTTTTTTTGTTTGTTTGTGAAACCAATTACAGTGTCAAAATTAGTTTTTACTCACTCCTCTGGTGGACACATAAAGACTTACTGTCGGAGGTCTGATATGCTTGGCTGGGCTTGGCCCTCTGACACTTTTATTTCTGGGGGAGCTAATGGCCTCATTGCTGTCACCATAGTCATCAATCAGTGATAGCTCAGTGCTCCTGGTATGTATGGCCTGAACACACATCAGATGTTTCTCAGAGAAGAGACATGAGTGTCAGACACACATCCAAAGCAGAATAGCAGTGAGGGGTTTAGTGACAAAACACATGTCCAGTAGCGTAATTTGTATCACATGTGAAAGGGGCAAGCTACAGCAAATACTTTTTTTTTTTAATAAATTCAGGACACTTAGTATATGATGTAGTATATAATTGGGAGGAGATGGCAAGGAAGAAAGCAAGAGTAAGATGAAAAGATTGTGAAGAAAAGAAAAAATAAGAAAGATTCCATTAAACAGGAACCATTTATTGTGTCCCTACTGTGTGCAAAGTACTGTGGTAGGCATTGGGGATACAAAGACAGGTAGAGAGGGAAAAGGCAGATTAGCAACAATAAGAGCTCACATGTGGGTAGTTAAGCTTTACAATTTACAAATCACTTTCCTCCAGAATCCTGTTTGGGAGGATGGGCAAGTATTATTGACACTTTACAGTAAGGAAACTGAAGATCATGGAGGTTAAGTAATTTGTTCATGGGGTCAGCTAGGTGGATAGAGCTCCAGCCTTGGAGTCAGGAGGATCCGAGTTCAAATGTGGCCTAAGACACTTGACACTTACTAGCTGTGTGATCCTGGGCAAGTCACTTAGCCCCGATTTTCTTGCCAAAAAGCAAAAACAAAACAAAACAACAGAAACAAAAAAGCAGTAGATTTGGAAGCTCAGAAGCCCAGTCTTTCTAGCCACAAGTCCAATACTCTAAAGGAAGAAAAGGTTACTCAAGTCATTATTCTCTCAGAAGCTACTCCATACCAGCCTCCTCCCTAGTCACTGTCTGGGGCGAAGGCTCTTAACCATTTCTCTGTCTGTAGGCATTCTGGTGAAGCCTATGAACCCTTTCTGAAAATAATGTTTTTTTATATGCATAAGCTAAGATAACATAGAATTACAAAGGAAACCAATTATATTGAAATACAGTTATAAAAATTTTTTTTTAAAGTTCTTCAACTCGAGGTTAAGAATCCCTGGTCTTAGGGAAAGAATCTTAGATCTTATGTCAGAAGACCTGGTTTTCCATCCTGTCTCTTCCACTAGATCACCTTATGACCTTGGGCATTTTGCTTCATCTCTCTGTTCCTGAGTTTCATCTGTGATATAAGGGTGTTGGACCAGATGTCTCTTAGGTCTCTGACAAGTCTAAAAACCTAAACTGTCATATCTCAAGTCCCAGCCTGCCCAGTCGGCCCTGAAGGCTCTAGCCCAAACTGTGCACCACTAGCCTGCTACTGACATTTGAAATTCATAATCTGCCTTTAGCACTTATTGTACAAACATGTTCCTTTCTCTGCTATTCTTTTGAATGTTACCATCCTTCTGAGTGGGTTCATCGTTGCATCAATTGATAGTGGGAAAGAGTTCTAAATCCCTCTGGAAATGCAATGCCCCCATAGCTGGTGGCCCTGCCATCTTTGTTAACTGGCCTCAGCTCCCTTCAGTCTCCAGGCTGAAGCTTTGGTCTTAAAAAGCAGGAGTGGAAAGGATCCCAGTGGCATGGCTTAAGTTCATTCTCTTTGGTGGTGGTCTTGTTGGAATGACTGAGTTACTCCAGGACTGAGATTAGACCACCACAGAAATGAGGCCTGAAGAAACTAAATCATTTTGGAATTGCATAGGACTGACTAATTCCTTGGTAGACTCAATGGAAGCTCAATCTCCCACAAATGTAAAACCTAAGCAACCTGTTTTATGACCCTAGCAGAAAGAAAAGAAAATAAGAGAAGGGCACGTGAGAATTTGCCATATTTGTTAGGATAGTCTTTTACCACCTTGAAGAGAAAATTATTTAGCAAAGAATCCAAAGAAAAGTCCAGAGGGAGATAAAAAAATGCACAATGCAGTTTGATTTTTTATTGGAAAATTTTAATTATGTGCAACAAAGTTGACTTAATGAAGGAAAGAATATGATGCCTGAATTATAACAGCTCTCTTTTAAATAAATAAAAAGCATGTAAAATTTTATAAGAATAGTTAAATTTTAAAACAGAATTGATTGACAATACAAAATGAACTTGAAGCTAAGTCAATTATATTCTCAACACTACTTATTGGTTACTTCGGTCCCGTCTTGAAAAGAATTGTTTTGGTTTTACTTGAGAAACACATTCACATATTTAGTATCAGTTTTGACACTTGTTGAAATTGGAAAAGATTTACTTGCCACGTTGTTTCCAAGAAACAATGAAAGTTGAATGACAAATTTTTATGGAACCTATTTCAAGTACTGGGCCAACAAAGGTTACATGAGTTAAGCAGCTATGTAGCCTGAAAAAATCTTGGTACAGACAAATTTTGTGGCCACCTTTTGCCTCCATGAATCATCTTAACTCTCCATTTTTGAACTGGGAAGAGCAGTTTGTGTAGCCACAGGTACTCGATTTCATTTGGAGCTGAAAGCTGGTTCTCCTCTGCCCAAAAGAAGAGAGACTCTATATTGGTCATGCTTTGGGGGCAGTGATAACAGTTTGCCACAATTTGGTCCATCCTCTCCATGTTTTTTTTTTGTTTTTGGCGAGGCAGTTGGGGTTAAGTGACTTGCCCAAGGTCACACAGCTAGTATATGTCAAGTGTTTGGTCTGAGGACGGATTTGAACTCAGGTCCTCCTGACTTCAGGGCCAGTACTCTGTCCACTGCATCACCTAGCTGCCCTGTCTCCATGTTTTCAAATGAGGAAAACTTGCTTTAGCTTTTGGAAACATAATGGTTGACCATCTTTTTACCTTTTGTCTTCTATTCAATCAGACAAATTAAAGGATGTGCTTATTAAACCATGGTTGTAGGAGCATAGATTTAGAGGGGAACTAGTTCAGCTTTCTCATTTTACAGGTGAAGAAAGGGGGTCCAGGGCAATAAGTGATTTGCCCTACATCACACAGGTTAGCAGAGAGATCCAGGATTCTGACCCAAGCTCCCAATCTTGGTGGAGTGGAAAGAGATGTGGAGTTAGACTCCCAGGCCCTAGGTTCAAGCCCAGGCACTGCTCTTTTCTACCTGAGTGAGTGACCTTGCTTAGGTTGCTAGATCTCTTTGGGCATCAGTTTCTTTATCTGTAAAATGGTTAGGGGGTTGTATTCATTGTCGTTCAGGGTTTCTTTGAGCTCTAACTCTATGATCTGGTGTCTCCAGATCCAATATTCTCTGCATTCCACCACACAACAAATGTTTAACAAAGGGTTTCTATGGGCAAGGCACAATTACTTCTTCACTGTGTTCATGACTTTGCAAAACTGGGAGTTTTTCATGGGGTTGTTTGTACTGGCTGCCCAGCAACAACTAATCACTAGCAGTGCCTTATAACAGTAGGAGGAGGAGGGCATCATTCATTGCAGCCTCACTTCTCCCAGACTTTGATTTTTATGGACTCTTCATGGTGTTTTTTCAGGAACAGGCTTTTGTGGCCTCCTTGGCCCGCTCCCTCTACATTACTTTCCATTGAGCCATCATTGAAATCAAAGTAGCTTTTGTGGGGAGGTTTATGGTTTGGGTTTTCATAATTCTTACCTTGCTGTCCTGATTTGCAGTAGCCCAGTAGATATATTTAACATCTTACAGTTCCTGGGGGAGGGGATCTTCTAACAATCTTAAGACATGATTTGCTCAGTGGTCTTTCTTAAAATAAATCTTGTTTCCCTGTTTGGTGATCTGTCTCAACACTCTTTATATATTTCCTGAAGGACTCACTAAAGCCAGAGTGGACACTCAAGATAGGGGATTTGAATATATCTGGATGGGCATGTGTGTGCACATGTTCATGCACATGTGCCCTAGCTCCTCATCTGCTGGGGCAGCCTCTTGATTTGTGGACACAAATGCCAGCAGTTGAAGTGCACTAGTCATATTTATAGGCACGCTTATCATGCTAACTTTTGGAAATTTGATCCCTAATGGCTTGGGGTCACGAGGTCTTGTCTTCCATTCCACCCATTTTAAGTCTTTTGCAGGGCAGTCATGGATCAGTTATAAGGGGAGCTTGGGAAAGCAGTCAGGAATTTGTGTTTACCTGAAACATCGTCAACCTTCTGTTTAAAAAACTGGCACATACATCACAAGAGAACAGACCTCCTAATCAATCTCCTTTGGTTTCTAGTTTCAGCCAGGTTCAAAATAACATGAAAACACTGTTTTTGGTGAGAGTTTTAGCCTCCAGCATTCAGATATAATTCAAATCAGAAAGAGAAAATATACCATTAAAAATAAGTGTGGGAGGTTGTGAATTTGATTCTAGAGAGCTCACAAAACTAGGGCAAACCATTCAAATGGAAGACTAGAATCTAAATTCAAGTTAGATGGGAGCCAACCTTTCAGGGTATTTCAACGGCCATCACTTTCGTTTTTCCCTGCATCCTCCTCCACAGTGAGGTAGGTCTGGACATGATGCTGCATGTCATCAGTGTGATGGGAGCTTCAGTTTGGCCCTCTTAATCTCCAGGTAATCCTGAATCCTCTGCGGTTTTCGAGGTCTCTGCTTTAGACAAAGGGCAACTCCAGAGGCCCCAAAATGAGAGGAACAGATTAGGGCAGCTACTGAAGGGAGAGATGAAGGTTTTCAGCACAGAAAGAAAGCTGGTCTTCATTTGTTTGTGAACTTTTGTCTTCTCCCTTGTGTTTCTCTTTTTGAAGAATAAATTTAAGTGAATACAATGGATGATGGAAAGAAGTAAATTAAGGAGATCATTGGAGAGGGTGGGTGAGTTGGGGGTGGAGAGAATTGCCAGTGTGCAATAATCCCAGCTTTATAATGTGGGGAGGAAATGGCCTATTGATATTTTACAAGAAGTATAAAGTATCTTATTTAGAAGGAGAGGAAAAGGGGGCAAAACCATCTTGGTGGTGGAACTTTTAATCTGCTACTAATTAGGAGAAAAATTTAGGATTGCAAACATGTTAGATTTTGTTGTCAGGGCAAGTTGGCCCATTAGGAGAGAAATAAACCTCACCTACTTTATATTGGGGCCTATTGCTTCAACTAAGATCCCAGGTTTGGAACAGCACCTAACTGATAACTGGAACTAGCCCATGACTACTGGCTGTCTTTAGACAGTTGCCATCCAAGTTAGTGACATTTTATCTGTTGGTTCCCAGTCCCTCGAGAATGTGTGGCCAATTCCAGGAGGCCGCTGGAAGTAAAGGTATGAATGCATCGTGTCCGTTATTTTCTCACTAGAGAGATTTTCATATAAGGGAAACCTGAATTTTCCTTGGGAATTTTTTCTGTAAAATGATAAAGTTTAATAATAAATGCTTTTATGACAGATTTTCTCAGTAGGAATCAGGGTCATCTGTTCTACATCAAAAGTGAAAATTTTATAACAATAACAGCATTTATATAGTATGTTAGGGTTTGCAAAATGTTTAATGTGTTGTCCCATTTGGTCCTTAAAACAACACAACCCTGTGATATAGGTGCTGTTATTATTATGTCTGTGTGTGTGTGTACATATATATATGTGTGTGTATATATATATGTATATATATATATATATGTGTGTATATATATATATATATATATATGAAGGGGAGAGGGTTTAGAGAGATTAAATGACTTGCTGTTCGTTACTCAACTAATAAATAAATGTCTGAGGCAGGATTTAAACTTAGGTCTTGGGTCTTCCTGACTGCAATTTCAGTTATTAAGCACTGTGCTAGGCACTGGGGACTTTTGTATTAGACAAAATCAAAAGGCCCTAGAAGGGGAGACAACATGTACACATACAATAATCAGAAAAAATACAGGGTAATTGCAGGTCACTAGCAGGTTCGGGGGGGGGGGCAGGGCAAGCCTCCTTTGGAAGATTACATGAGTTGAGTATTGAAGGAAACTAGGGATTTTAAAAAGCAACAATGAAGATGGAGTATATTCTAGGCATGGTGGACAGCATGGAATGTTGTATGTGAGGATCAGCGTGACTGTCCTGTAAGGTGTGAAGGGGAGCTCCTTAGGAGTAGAGATTATTTCTTTCTTGTATTTGTACCTCTAGCACAGGATTTGGCATATAGTCTAGGTTTAATAAATACTTATGATTAATAATAATAATAATAATGGAAAGGTAGGTTGGGTCAGTTTGTTAAGACCTTTAAATGTCAGAGGAGTTTGTGTTTGAATTTGTATATAGAGTAACAAATCTTGAGAACAAAGGGAAAAAAACACCTTTCCCTGAGGAAATCTTTTTTTAGGCATTTGGATGGGCTTTAAGCTGTGATTTGACATCACTTAAAGCCATCTTCTAGTTGATCTAGGTATGAATGTTCATCATGTCTATTTTCTCTTCTGTCTTCACTCTTTCTCTCCCCTATCACTCCATTATAGCACTCTGATGGCAAGCCTACAGAATATTAAGACGATGAAGACTCTTTTTTAGAGCTGATGAAAGCCATGGCCTTGTGGACAGCCAGTGCTGGCCAAAGCTGGGGACTAACTTTAGTTACAAATCAACAGCTAAAACGTCTCAAGTTCTATAAACTTTCCCAAATGCTAAAAACACATATATGTGTTTCTTCTGAGAACTTGGCCAGCCATAGATGTTCTCATGCTTGAAGACAAATCACTCTTGTTTTAACTGACAGTTTCTAAATTTTTCTTCTTATTATTGTAGGCAGTTTGGGGCTCAAGGGTCACGACTGACTGGAGCAGGATGGGGAGGCTGCGCTGTATCATTGGTACCTACTGACAAGCTGCCTGACCTTCTAGCAAATGTGCAAGAAACTTATTACCAAAGCAAGAAGGAAAGGTTAACTGTGGAGAAGCGGTGTCTATTTGCCACCAAACCTGGAGGTGGGGCTTTGGTTTTCCTTGAGGCCTAAACAGTGTAAGAATCGCAGAGAAACCATTTAGGGCATTTAGGAACTGGCAGGATTTCCTATGCCACGGTAAATTAATCCCCTCTCTGTTTTCTATTATGGTGAATGTTTGCTATTATCAAGATATATTTCCAAAGAAATTGTTGAAAGCTTTCTGCACTTTATAATAAACACTTTTTACTTCTCTTAAAATTGTTTGTTACAAATAATGGCCAAGATATTGTTGGGATAGACCTTTTAATGACTGATGATTAAGTGAACCTTACCAATGTGAAAATGTCAAAGATTTAAAAGATCAGTGGTGCAAATAAAAACATGCCTATCTCATATGTTTTTGTTTTCTCCTTCCACCATGGACACCAAGATCTGTTGGAATTGAGTTAAATTTATTATTGTAATTAAACTGAAGCCATGAAATGGTTGAGCTTTTTCCCAGGGTGTGTGTGTGTACACTGCACATTATTACTCTAGATCATCTGGTTCTTTCTCATATTAAAATTCATATTCTTCAGCTTCAGAAGAGTAAAAAGCACCATGGGCAAGTAGAGAAGCGAAAGCAGGGATTGAGGCTATGGTGGCAGTGGCAACAGCTGCTGGTATCCTAGCTGATACGGTTTTTTCTGACCTTTCTGCATGACGCTGTTCAGACAGTGAATTGAAATACATGCAAATATTCAGAAGATCATCTTGGACTTTAAGGATGTCAGTGTAAGATTATGCTTTCTCCCTCCCCCACATTCCCCCCAGAAAAGTTCCAAATTGAGGTGAGGGTAGGTGGAGTTCTTTAACATGTAGCCTGGTTGAGAACAGGCGAGATTTAAAGAATCAAGAGATCCTAGGCCTCTCTCTGGATTTGTTTTTATGATATGATGTCATTTGCACTGCTGTCTGTCATTTTGCAAAGAAAGATCTGACTTTTGGTTGAGATACTCTCAAATTATCCGCCTGAATTTATACCCAGTGGAAGGTAGGAAATTGAGGTAATGTATATATGGCATGACTCTTTCTCATTTCTGTCAAGCACACCACTGTCCTTCTAGTCACATAGGTTTGCATCTTCTGAATCATCCTTGACTCCTCTGCTGTCTCTTCTCCCACACATCCAGTCAGCTGCCATTTGTTATTTATTCTACTGCCACACTATCTCTGCCATCCATCATCCCCCTTTCTCCATTCACATGTAAGGTCACCCCCTGAGTTCAGGCCCTCATCATAACTCTTGTATTGGCTTCCTAATTGGTATCCCTGCTTCTTAGTCTCTCCCCTCCCTAACCTATCCTCCACATAATGGCTGAAGTAATATTCCTCTTGTACAGATCTGACCAATTCACTCCTGATTCCCTATTACCTCTAGAATCATATATAGAATGAAAGGCTCCTTCCCAGGAGCTAAACTGCTCTGTTTGTTTTCTGGTCTTCATATGTAGCACTTTATCCATCTCCTGTCTTGATGCTTTTGAATGCGTTGTACCGCATGTTTAGCATGGCCTCTCTCGCTCCTGCCTCTTAGAATTTCTAATTTCCTTCAAAGCTTAGCTCAAGTATTCCCTCCTGATGCCACTAGCTGACTACTGCCTCTCTCCATCAAAAAAGAATGACCTTGTCTTCATTTTGTAGCCATTTTATGTGTAAATATTGACTCTTCTGTGAAAAAACAAGATCCTTGAATCCAGAGGATATTTCATTTTTGGTTTTGTATTCCCAGAATCTAGTATATAAGAGGCCTTTAAAAAGCACTTATTAATTAAATGATTACTCATCACTCTATGAGCAAATCTGTACCAGGCAGCTCCATTTTCTCCTTATCAGTACCCTCTCCTCAACTCTCTTTTGAACACATTTGGTTATATGCATCTGTGGATCTGTTTGCATCTATGGACCAATAAAGGGTATATCTATAGCTATTATAGATGAAAAGGATTGTGTTTGAGTGTATGTTGAATCTCTGTACTTATATTAGTGATTAAAGCACAGGGGACAGAAGCTAGATCCAAGGTCAACAGGAACCGGGCCTTTCTTTCCTCAACCAGAGCATTCTAGGTAGACTGATAGTGCAGACCAGTCTGAGTGGAATAGGTAGTTTGTAGTCAAATTAGAGAAAGCCCTGACAACCATCCATGTTTTAAATTTGATGAGGGCAGCCAATGGGGAGCTAGTCTTAGTTTTGTGCCCAAGGTAGTAGTGTTTGATGTAGGTGATGTCTAAAGTTTACCATTTCCTGATAATGTCTGATACAGTATTATCTATTTTTAAGATAGTTCCTGGATATTGGATGGAACTTAAGGAGGGCAGTATAGTCATCAGTCAGAATTACTGTCATTAAGCCTAGGAGAAGGGAAGGAGAAAGAAGAGTCCAGGTGAGAAAGATGCAGCTTTAAGATAGCCATCTGAAAATCCTATCAAATGCAGTCAGGATTTTCAAATGGCTATCTTAGAGCTACTGAAACTCTACATCTAGCTAGGTTGGCAACTGCAAGACAGGAACAGTTTCAAGTCAACTTTTTCCCCCCTCTAAGACCATAGAGGGAGATTGAGGCTTTTTCTGGCCCAAATTTAGCCACATCACCCCACTGTAATTTGGATATTAGAAGCAATCCAGATTTATCCCCATTTTGAGTAGATTATATGAAAAAGGAATCCCCTATCCTATATATAAAAAAGAAACATACCAGCTTCTCTAGATATTTTAGACAATCATTCATTGCTTCCTCTGGTCTTCTTCGGGCTTTGTTTTCCAGACTAATAGCAGAATAAAGAAAATGGAATAATAAACTACAATGGCATCATCCTGACTTTATGTGTGTGTTTTTAAATAGCAGTGAACCACGTCTGCATTAACCTATTACTACCTTAATTCTTAACAGGCTTGAGAGTGAATAAAGAGAGAAATAGGACAAATGCAACAAAAGGGGGTGGGGTGGGGAAGTACAAAGAATGGTAGGAGAGGAAGTAGGGAGCTAGATAGGAGTAGAAATTTGGGACAAGATAAGGGGTGAGGCGATAGCTAAAAAGATATGTAAAACTGAAGAGGATAAGAAACAGACTCATAATTTAAATTCAAAGTCTAGAAAATTTCATGTGAACTGTGAGAAATTTCTGCTTGCCAATCAATATTTTTTTTTTATTTTTAAAAATTCTGAAGTAAAAAAGGGCATTTCCATATATAAAGTAGAGCAGATAATAAGGGTGTACATGAAACTGTTAATCTATTACATCTTGCTTTTCCTTTTAAGTATGTAATTCAATGAGTTACTTTCAACTTTATCTTGCTTGCCTGTTTCCTTATAAACTTGCTTGTTTCTTTAAAAAAATACGTCAATGATTCTCTTTTCTTTGTTTCTTTCTTTTCTTCCTTCCTTTCTCATATTTTCTTTCCTTTCCATGCTATCGGTATTTCCCTTCTCTCCTCTCTGACTTCTCTTTGAAGAAGTGGATAATGTACTTTATCAGAGGTTGCTTAATGTTGTAGTTGGCTATTGAATTGATCGGCATTCTGAAGTCTTTCAAATTTTTGTTTTTTTTTTTTTAAGTTTCATTACTTCATAGTCATACCTCCTATAACTCTAATTTGGAAAAGCAATTAATCAAATAAGTAATTCTCCTCTGGAGAGGGTGGAGAGAAGTAATTAACTTTGTGTGATACTCTTCTAGTTCCTATCATAGACAGTCAAGCAGAAAAGAACAGAGTGGTAATGAAATTCATAGAAGAGCAGGGTAGGGTGATAGTGTCAGACAAAGAAATAGAAAGATTCACTTTAAGTTAATAGTTGTACAGATAATATCTCATCAAATAACTGAGTTGGATGTATTTCTACTTAAATTATATTATTTGATAAGTTTTTGAATGAAAAACAAACCTTAGTAACTTCTTACTAAATTCCACTTGTTTATTTTTAATGGCTCTTATCTCATCTCTAATATTCTTGGATTCTCTGTAAAATAAATTATGGGGGTGGGTTAATTAAGCTTTAAAATAAATAATTGGGAAAGAATACTAGCAACAGATAGGATGTTAAATTCATGTTGGAAATCTGTTTTTGTAGAGACTTTATTCCTTCAGCTATGCCTTTTGTGAAGCCTAAATTCATCTCCTGTACGAGGAGTCTTATGCCCACCATTGCTGCTGCTGTATGTACCCCTCCCTTAAGAGCCTAAATGACCAGGGCTGAATTTCCTGACCTTATTACTGCTCTTCAGGGAGGGAGTGGGAGTACAGAAAAGAACAGGTCAAATTAGTAGATTAGGTTCTACATTTCCATCTCTTTGACCCATTGGGAAGGACTATATCTAGTGCTCTACGTCTTTTTCCTGCCTAATAGATGTGGCCTTTTGGCCTCTATTGTAAGGGCTGGCTGTGGTACTCTTGGGCCATAGGGCTACTTCAAATCAAATTCTCAGGGAGATGGACAATTTGGCTTTCTGTTATCTAAGTCTTTTACATTTGAATGAGTTCATTCATTTATAGCTATTTAAATTAAAATGTTAAGTTTAAAATTTAGGCCCCAAAGCATGCATTTTAGAGAAGTCCTCCCTACCCACCTTTTTTTGGGGCCAGTATAATTTCTCCATTCTTCAGCCTAAATGGAGATCACAACAATCCCAGCACACTTCATAATTGCTGCCAGACCTCTTCTCTCTGAATTTCTCCTTTCATCCTTTATTAGGGCTATAGCCCTTCAGATAAAAGAACTAGTACCCCTCTTTCATATGCCCACATGACATTACAGTATCTTCTTAAAGGGAATTTATGCCGTTGATAGATACCTAAAGAAAGAATTAACCTATAAATCAATAAAATGAGGAGCTGACCTATTTCAAAAGCTCTTAACTTGGGGCTTGGGAACTTCTTGGCTTACCTGTATTTCAGTATAATTTAGTTTCTTTGTAATCCTATGTATTTCGCTTTGTTTTAAAAACATTATTCTGAGAAAGGGTCCATGACACAAAAAAACGTTAAGAACGTCTATCCTGCATGATTTCTAAGCTGCTTTTAGCTCCAACATCCTATGCTATTCTAATTTTTAAAAAGTAGTGGTCAAACTTACGTTATAAAAGCAGCTTTGTTCCTGGCAAATATTTTTCTGCTTTCTGCTACAACTTCACGGTATGTTGGACCTATGTTTGTTGTATAATTACAGTTAAAGATCTCTGATTCAAAACATTTTGTTTTTGTTTTTGTTTTTTTGGCAAGGCAGTTGGGGGTTAAGTGACTTGCCCAGGGTCGGCTATTAAGTGTCAAGTGTCTGGTCTGAGACTGAATTTGAACTCAGGTCCTCCTGACTCCAGGGCCAGTGCTCTATCCACTGTGCCACCTAGCTGCCCCTCAAAA